TTTTTTTTACTGGCAGGTAGTTCTCATGCTTGTTGCAGAAGAGGCCCCCCAGCTCCCCCCAACAGCTCCTTGGCGTTCCCCAGCGAGGCGTTTCGGTTTGTTCTTCACGAAACGGGGGAGACTTTGCATGTTCGTTGGCGGTCCCGATACTTTAGCACGACTCAACTAGCCCCCCCTCTCCAGCCCCGTGGGCGGGGGGGCTCAAAGCGGACACGTTATCATAATGAAAAAGCACATTCTGTGATCATCAGCCCGGATGCGAGAGCAGAACCTCTGTTCTCGGCTCTATTTCTCTTATTTCTTCTGTTTCTGTTGTAGTTCTTACTGAAGCAGGGGCTTAACAAGCGTTTGCCTCCAACAACACCTGCGGACCCCCAGATCAGCCAGGAGGGACATGTTAGGGGTTACATTTGAATTTATTTGAAAACAAATAACACATTTGACAATCCATACGGCATTTAAAGTCCTCTGTCCTTTGCATTGGAAATAAACTGAAGTGTAAAAGATGTCATTTATTCAGAATTAACATAAATGGAGCCCTCACAACAATTGATTTAAAAATGACACACATGAGCGTATTATGTAGCCATAGTGATCACCAATTAACAACACAGAAAATACAGTTTCCCATTTACATTTCATGATACAAAGACACTGTAGGAATGTGCTTTCTCTAATAGGAAGCTTAATGAAACAATGAAATATTCTGCAGCAAACATGTTTTCAGCAGGTCAACATCAGATTTAGTTTTTACTAGTGTTACAAATTGTTTATGTGGTGTTTTTCCCTGTTAAAGAGGGTTTGTTGTGAGTTATGTTGGGGTTTTAAGCAGAAGTGAATGTACGTGTAATAATGTTTAGTGTTAAAATTGTAGTTTGTGTGATGTTAGATATTAGTTATTACATTAGCATGTTAGATGAAGTGAATGCAATTTGAATCAAACATTATTTATAGTCATTTAAATCATATAAACACTGTACACATTAACATTCTGTCACAATGTGATGTAAAACCTGGGGACGGATGCTAGTTGCCGTCCTTTATGGATTGCTCCCAATTTTCTCCCCAAAGAGGGTTTTTTGGGAGAAAGGATTGAGACCAAGGCGGGGAAAGGACTGTTAGAATTTTCCTGCAGCCGCTTTGATAAGTCGCTTTAGACTTGCTCAGAGAATTCGCTATTTCGCGAAGTATTTTACTGTTCGCTTTGTATTTCCCTTTGTAATTGTAATCCTTATTACGTTGTTTAGTCATTAAATACTTTTTGATTTTTGAATTTAAGCAAATTGACTCATTCGATTCCTCGTTTCCGGCCGGGACGAGAACAAAGGAGTGAGGCCTCCCTCGAGGGCTTTCCGAACTCCGAACAGCTATTAATTGTTATAAAGTTATAACCATGAGTCCATCTCAAATAGCTCCGCCCCTCGGGGGTTGACAAAATATGTTTCTGCCCGCTGAAGACTGACAACACGCCGTGTCGTAAATTCATATCGTGAGGACATTTGGTGGAACCGGTTTGGTCTTTGAGAGATAATTCTGAAGAGGCGGCGAGATCTTCCTCCTGGCACCTCGGTGGAAATCGTCAAAACAGCGACACTCACTCAGCGCCCGGCCTGCAGCAGCGCCAATTTGCACTTGGGAACAAACCGTTGTTCTCACACGCCGCTCAGAGACGAGAGAAGAAACAGCGGAGGATCACAGAGCTTCAGAGCTCCGTGGATTACAGTCATGGGATGGAGAGGAGCATGAAAATTAACATTTTGAAGATGGTTAAGTGTATTTACAAATAAGTATGTTTAGTACATGAGTTGTTTGGAAACAAACTTTGTCATTTTGAAACATAAAAGCATGTACATTGTGTGTCTGTCGTGGCGCCTCACTGACCGCTGATTAGTCAGTGAGGCGCCACAGTGCCGACACACGGCTGGTGAGTGGTGAGTTCCTCTGAAGACTGAGTTGCCACAGATGTGCCGGTGCCACAAGGAGTATCTCGGTCTTACTGTAATTCTGGGACAGAGACGGTCGGCCGGCTCGTTCTCTTCTGAATTTAGTCGATGTTTATTTTTTTCTCCGAGACGTCCTTGTAGTTTGCAAACTGGCAAACGTGTGCTCATCTTCTTGCATCAGCTCCAACCCCCAGGCAGCCCTGTAAAGATAAACAAGGGTTCAAATAGATCTTGATCACCACATAACATGCGTGTGATTTGTATAGGCTTGAAGAGGTGAATGTGTGTAATCAATGTGTTGCCTGTTACAGTGGACATCTAATGAAGAGCCTTACTCGGACTGGAGAGATGATCAGCGGAGCAGAGTTTCCACCATTCTTGTTATCACCGGGATTAAAGAACGGGAAGAGCTTCTCAGTGAAGGAGCAGCCAGTGAAGGAGTAGATGAGAGCTGCAGCTTCTACGTCATAAAAGGAGACCACACCCTCCTCATAGTTCACAAACACCCCCACCTTCTGAGGACGAGACTTCAGAGAGAGAACAACTGAAGGATCAGCAGAGGCATTGTATTTGTTTCTCAACCATATAGTCCAGTAACCTTTCTGAGGACTCAGTGAGATGTGTCCCTTCCTGTCAACTGACTTTCTGGCCACTCCTAAATACCACTCAGTCTTTCCTTCAACCTGAACCTCAAAGTAGAATTTGCCTGAAGAGAAACTCTGCTTTGTAGAAACGCAGAGCCAATAATAAAATCTCTCTGGGTTGTTTGGGAGCTTCTTCCAGACATTGCCATGTTTCACTTGTTTCCCATCGTCTGACAGGATGAGGTTAGGATGAGCTGTTTGAGGATCAAGAGTCAGATCCACTGAAAACATCTGGACCTTCATCAGCTCAGCAAACCACTTCTTCATCTTTTTACTGAGTGTCTCCTCCAGCTGAGACACAGCTCTCACCACAGTCCCCTCATATGATGAAGGACAAACACTGACCTCTGTCCAGTCCTTGGTGGGTGGTGGTTGATGGATGTTTGAGGACTGGAGAAGATGGAGGTGGTCTTCAGAGAGAGAGAGCTGCTCCACCTCAGCGCTCCTCTTCATCAGCTCAGAGATTTCCTCTTCCAGCTCTCTGATGAAAGCTTCAGCCTGTTTCTTTGTGGTTTCCTGCTTCTCTTCTATTGTTTTGAGGAGCTCTTTCAAACCTCTTCCAACAGACTCCATCAGATCATTGAAGACCTGAACACCTTCTGCTTTCTCTCTGCCTGCATCTTCCTCACTGAGGTCGACCGAGTGTTTGATCTCCTGAATCTTCACTCTTCTCTTCTGGATCATCTGCTGGATTTCAGCCTCTGTCTTCTTCAGCTCAACCTTCTTTTCTTCATATTCTTCTTCCACAGGAACAACATCATGCATCTTGTGGTCTAAAACACTGCAAAGCATGCAGACACACGTCCGGTCGCTCTTACAGAACAGCTCCAGAGGTTTATCGTGCTTCTTACACATCCTGCCTTTCAGGTTCTCCACAGGGTCCATCAGCTGATGTCTCTTCAGACCTGACATAGTCAGATGAGGCTCCAGGTGAGTCTCACAGTAGGAGACCAGACACACCAGGCAGGACTTGAGGGCCTTCATTTTGGTTCCAGTGCAGACGTCACAGGGAACTTCTCTTGGTTTGGACTCTTGTTGTTCGGAGCTGCTGCTGCTGGCTTTCTGCTGAGCAGACTCTCTGAACTTAACAACCATCTCAGAGAACATGGTGTTGACTCTCAAATTAGGTCTGGTAATGAAGTTCTTCTTACACGTTGGACACAGGTTCTGGTCGCTGGTGTTCCAGTGTTCATTGATGCAGTTTATGCAGAAGTTGCGTCCACGTGGTGTGGAGACTGGATCAGTGAACACATCCAGACAGATGGAGCACAGGAACTGTGCTTCAGATGGACCATAGTTTGCAGAAGCCATGTTGTGGAAGAGAAGAAAAACGTCTTATTTTTTAATCAAGCTAGAATGTGTCCACATGCTGTGAATAAAGAGCAGCACGCTAACAACGCTCTGCTTACTTGGTGACAAACATGTAGCGTCTCATTTAGATGACTCACACTAAAAGCCTCCAGCAGGGTCACCGTTGAACACGTTTAACTTGATGCACCAAGAGGAAACAGAGGAAGCGATCAGGAAACAGAGAGAGACTAAAGTTTGAAGCACAGAGATTCAGCTCAAAGTGACTGAAGTCGTGGGACTGTGGATAAACACACGTGTTTTTTTTGGTAACATTCTATCAAGTATGAAGTGAACAAAGAGGAACTTCCTGCCTGAGTAAAGTACAAGTTGTGTGTTCTTCCTGCTTGTTGAAGGTGTAAATGTGACCAGCTGTACTCACCAGTGTTCTGAAGAGACTTTGCTGTGTTGCTGAGGAACACCTGATGACGTCACTTTGACTTTTCTCTCAGAGAAACATGGAGACTTGTCTTCACTGCAGCGCGTCTGCCTCTCTGACCAAATTCACTTTCATCTCTGGACAGTGACGTAGAAGCTCCACCCCTCCACGTATCCCCGCCCCTCTGTGTAGCTCCGCCTCCTACTGGAACATGTAACATTTGTTTATAGTTCATATCAGCAAAGATGACTGTTTACTCGGGGTGTAACGATTCATCCACTGAATCGATTAATCGCATTATATTGCTGTGATCCAACTGAATCGATCTGTGCTCAGCAAATCGGCATTCCGGACGACATATATCGATTACAAATCGATTAAAATGGTACATAATCGATTACAAATAGATTGAAATGGTACATAATCGATTACAAATCGATTGAAATGGTACATAATCGATTTGTATCAATACTTGGAAACTGCACATTGGATTTAAGCACAAAAACGGTATGGATGTGTGTTTGTTTGTTGGTTTTTAAGCGCTTTAGACGCGTTAAACGTTACTCCATTCAGTCTGCCTGTCTGTGACGTCATCAGTACGCGGCGGCAGCCGCGCGAAACTCGGACCAACAACAAAACACAGCGTGGAGGAGACGACTGCGAGCGAGACATTTACAAACCAACTTATCGATCCAGCGTGTGGAAACATTTTGGCTTTTGCAAACACGGAGGTGTTCTAAATAAGTTGGTCGCTGTTTGTAGAATATGTAGAAGCCAAATAAAAAACACAGAAACACGACGAATCTTTCCGGCCATCTACTAAGGCGCCGTGGGATTAAACAACGCCGACTGTCAGGACCTGTAGCAGCGTCACCGCTGCAGCAGCAGCAGAAGGTAACTCCAGCTCTGCAGACACCTCAGGCCTCGCCAGCACCAAACTCAGCATTACAGTAACAATTGCCAAGTTTAGCTGTAAAGACATGCGACCCTACAATGTGGTTGAAAATCCGGGGTTCTGTGAATTGATCCAAACATTGTGTAATTATTGTGCAATGTTTACATTGAAAATGGTTGCACAATAAAAGGTTAATACATTTGCCATCAATTGTTGTTTGATTGTTTATAATATCCATAATTAATTTAAACCTGATTTCCTTAGAAGAAACAACAGGGATCTCAGAAACTTTGCCTGCACTGTCCAGTAAAGTTACTGAATCGATTTTAAGTCACTGAATCGAATCGATTCGTTCTAAAGGAACCCAGATCGTCCATGAATCGAAACGGGGGAGACTTTGCATGTTTGTTGGCGGTCCCGATACTTTAGCACGACTCAACTAGCCCCCCCTCTCCAGCCCCGTGGGCGGGGGGGCTCAAAGCGGACACGTTATCATAATGAAAAAGCACATTCTGTGATCATCAGCCCGGATGCGAGAGCAGAACCTCTGTTCTCGGCTCTATTTCTCTTATTTCTTCTGTTTCTGTTGTAGTTCTTACTGAAGCAGGGGCTTAACAAGCGTTTGCCTCCAACAACACCTGCGGACCCCCAGATCAGCCAGGAGGGACATGTTAGGGGTTACATTTGAATTTATTTGAAAACAAATAACACATTTGACAATCCATACGGCATTTAAAGTCCTCTGTCCTTTGCATTGGAAATAAACTGAAGTGTAAAAGATGTAATTTATTCAGAATTAACATAAATGGAGCCCCCACAACAATTGATTTAAAAATGACACACATGAGCGTATTATGTAGCCATAGTGATCACCAATTAACAACACAGAAAATACAGTTTCCCATTTACATTTCATGATACAAAGACACTGTAGGAATGTGCTTTCTCTAATAGGAAGCTTAATGAAACAATGAAATATTCTGCAGCAAACATGTTTTCAGCAGGTCAACATCAGATTTAGTTTTTACTAGTGTTACAAATTGTTTATGTGGTGTTTTTCCCTGTTAAAGAGGGTTTGTTGTGACTTATGTTGGGGTTTTAAGTAGAAGTGAATGTACGTGTAATAATGTTTAGTGTTAAAATTGTAGTTTGTGTGATGTTAGATATTAGTTATTACATTAGCATGTTAGATGAAGTGAATTCAATTTGAATCAAACATTATTTATAGTCATTTAAATCATATAAACACTGTACACATTAACATTCTGTCACAATTTGATGTAAAACCCGGGGGCGGATGCTAGTTGCCGTCCTTTATGGATTTCTCCCAATTTTCTTCCCAAAGAGGGTTTTTTGGGAGTTTTTTCTCCTGTCAGGTAGTAAATGAACAACTTAATGTAAGGCAGCCGACTGAGGCAAATGTCTTTAGAATTGGACCACATGAACTGTTTTAGATCTTATGATGAAGTGTGATGAATGGTGATCATTAATGATTTGTTGTAATTAAAGTGTACTAATTATAAGATGAAGACTTAAACTATGTATGCTTTGTTATATTCACTCATTGAGGCATAAAGCCAAATGTATCTACATTGAAGGCATTGTAATGTGAGGGACGCTCTGTTTACTTGGTGACAAACATGTAGCGTCTCATTTAGATGACTCAAACTAAAAGCCTCCAGCACGTTCACCGTTGAACACGTTTAACTTGATGCACCAAGAGGAAACAGAGGAAGGGATCAGGAAACAGAGCGACTAAAGTTTAAAGCACAGAGATTCAGCTCCAAGTGACTGAGGTCCTGGACAGTTTGAAGCTGTTAGACTGAGTTACTGTATCGTGGGACTGTGGATAAACACATGTGGTTTTATTGGTAACATTCTATCAAGTATGAAGTGAACAGAGAGGAACTTCCTGCCTGAGTAAAGTACAAGTTGTGTGTTCTTTCATCCACTGAATCGATTAATCGAATTATATTGCTGCGATCCAACTGAATCGATCTGTGCTCAGCAAATCGGCATTCCGGACGACATATATCGATTACAAATAGATTGAAATGGTACATAATCGATTTGTATTGATTCTTGGAAACTGCACATTGGATTTAAGTACAAAAACGGTATGGATGTGTGTTTGTTTGTTTTTTAGCGCTTTAGACACATTAAACGTTACTCGATTCAGTCTGCCTGTCTGTGACGTCATCAGTACGCAGCGGCTGCAGCCGCGCGAAACTCAGCAACAACAAAACACAGCGTGGAGGAGACGACTGCGAGCGAGACATTTACAAACTAACTTATCGATCCAGCGTGTGGAAACATTTGGGCTTTTGCAAACACGGAGGTGTTCTAAATAAGTCGGTCGCTGTTTGTAGAATATGTAGAAGCTAAATAAAAAACCACAGAAACACGACAAATCTTTCCGGCCATCTACTAAGGCGCCGTGGGATTAAACAACGCCGACAGTCAGGCACCTCTAGCAGCGTCACCGCTGCAGCAGCAGCAGCAGCAGCAGGTAACTCCAGCTCAGCTCAACATCACAGTAACAATTGCCAAGTTTCTCGGAAACTTTGCCTGCACTGTCCAGTAAAGTTACTGAATCGATTTCAAGTCACTGAATCGAATCGAATCGTTCTAAATTAACCCAGATCGTCGAATCGGCAACCATGAATCGCGATTCAAATTGAATCGTTGTTCGAATGAATCGTTACACCCCTAGTCCCTTAGTTTATATATATATACACCTTTTAAAATAACAACACAACATATGATGTGCAGAGCTGACTGGTTTCGTTAAATAGAAAATGGCGTGGTGGTATTAAACTCTGCCCACTGGCCTTTCTGTGTGGAGTCTGCATGTTCTCCCCGTGTCTGAGAGGGTTCAGTCCGGCTTCCTCCAGAGACGTGCGTTGGGGATCAGGTTAATTGGTGACTCTAAATTGCCCGTAGGTGTGTGGATGTGCGTGTGAATGGTTGTTTGTCTCTGATAGCCCGGCGTACGCTGACTCCAGCCCCCAAGAGAAGTACAGGATAAGTGATGGATTAACACTGCGGGATTATTCAAACCCCTTCATGTACACTCTATGGAGTGAAGACAGGTTAACAGTTCTTCCACACTGATGATCATTTCTCGTGCCAGGAGTTGAGGTCCTGTTTTAACAGTCAGATACAACTGCTCCCCACAGACATGATCAGGTATTAAGTGATAACCCTGATGGTGAAATAGCATCTTATCTTTGCCATCGGGTGGCTCCCCATTTATTACCGCTGACAGGAAATTAGATTGCTAGCATCTGGAGGGTATACTGGCATTTTGAGTGCACCTTTCCATCTCTTTCTGCTTTCAAAACTCCATTGGTTTTCAATCATAAGTAATGAAATTCCATCAGCCTCGTCCACCATGAAAGCAACAGGGAAAGGAAGTGAGAGACGGCCATTAGGAGCAGAGAAAAAAGGAGTAGCGTTCTTACCCTTTGCTTTCAGAGTCGCCTTTCTGTCGACTTGAATCTTTACCTTTTGTAGAGTAGACTTTTATTTAAGAGAGTAGTGGACGCACACCTTCACACTTTCTGTTATGAACAAAAGGGTGTGAGTCCTTGTGTCAGCCAGAGCGGGTGTGTCGTCAGATTTAAAATGTTGGACAGAACTTGCCGGAGGAGGAGGAACTTGCCGGTAGAAGTTCCTGGGTTCCCGGACTGGCAAGTTGAAGTGAAATCTATTTTAGATTTGACTGACTCCATCACGGTGTGAGGCCTGTGCAGAGTGACAGTTTTATTAGCATGGGTCAAACGTAGTCCGGGTGTGTATCCACAACGCTTGGTGTATGATTACGGTTGCGCTCGACAGCAGCACAAAATATTTTGCCTTTTTCTGTTAAAGTGCTCTGTTCCCATGCGATAGAGTCCACATCCAAGGATATGTGGGGAGGAATTGAAGTTATTATTGGCCAATATAGCAACATTTTAGGTCTTTATCTACATTATATAACATTCAAAAATGTTTTCTACTCAGGGCTGTGGTATCCATCAGAAGGCCCCGCGTTGTTTAAACCTCCAAAAAAAAGGCCTGCGTTAGCTCCCACCCGTCAGGACACCAGGGGAGGTAATACAGTTGTTAGTGCGTGTGTAATGTAATGTAATGTAATAATATCTCTCGGATTATTCTTGTGAGTCAAGCCCTTCCCCTGTCCAGCAGCCTCAAGACCTCCTCTGTCTTTGCTTTCTCAGGGACATTGAAACAGGTCGTCTTCTGCAACAATTTAGAGATGCGTGCTTAGCAAGTAACTCCACTCAAGATCTGGATCTCCAGCAGCCAGCTGGCTTTACGTCCAATCTCCTGCAGCCTTTGAGAATTTTGTCCTCGCACACTGGTCTTTTCAAGTTCATCACTCATCCTCATGAGTGTGCAGTGGACAAACACCGACCTGACATCCATCTATGGCGGAAAATCCCTGTCAAAATTCGAGAGCACAAATGGAGTTGATGCGTGCGCGTAAATCAAACAGCCGCGAGCAAAAGTTTGTCCCGCGCGAGATACTTGCTCGCTCGCGGAACGTGAACTTCGTTGCTCGCGAGGTTAACCTCTGCTCCTGCTCGAAGGTGTTTTCTATGGTTGCTTATGCTTATTAAGTCACATAAGCATTATCAGAAACAAACAACAGACAGGTTGAGCAGCCACATTTTGACCAGAAAATACCCAGGGCCCAATAGGTGTATGTAACCACCCCCACAAAAAAGCATCTATTTAGGTATTTGGGGGAATTTTTAAACAACTTTGTTGCAGTACGTGGTTAGAGAGAGTTTTAGATACTCTTGTCTACAAGGATCCTATTTTGCCACCCTGAGCGACGATGGAACACCTTGGTGGTGAGTAGTGTGTTTTATTGTTGATTATGTGTTTTAGTAAAACAAGCATTATACTTACAAGTATATATTCATTAAGGTTTCTCAACGATATGACAGTCCAGAGGGGGGTTAACCATCTAAACGCATCGATGAGGTCTAGTGATTTTATAATTGTTTCATTTTCTCCATCTTAACGTATTTAAATTGTATTTACATGTATGCAAATATCTTTTAGAAAGCGACTGCAGCCAGAATCCTAAAGATGGTGGAAGGCTAGCTACAAAAAGCATGGAAACAGACCTGCAGACCGAGCTAAGAAACCTTCAAGAAATACAACAACAACTCGCAACAAGCATTGAGTGGCTTACCACAACCCTCAACAAGTAAGCCGTCCTTGGATGGTAAGGACGTGAACCGCATGATATAATAACATTTTAGACCTTTCACCTACTTATAGAAATTTTGTCAAATATTCTCCAGGGTGTTCTCTAAAAGGACAAAAGTGGGTTAAACCCACAATAAAAACGCAGGCAACATCTCAGCAGAGTAGGAGCCCACGCAGCCACCACATTTCCACACACGGGGACGAGGGCAGGTCGGAACGGGGACAGCGAGATCTGAAACAGATGAATTGCCACGCCTCCTTGTAGGTGGGGACAAACAGCACAGAGAGGCAGGGGGACAGGAAGATACAAACACACAGGATGGGGAGAAACGTCAGCTGACCCATAACAGTGACAACTTTTTACTCCGCGTATCGTGTTTCTTTCTTATTTCAATTGAGAATCCAAGAACGAAAAACCAAATCAAAAAACGATCTTTATTTTAAGTTTGTGACCCGAATGACTTCTTCGTGTATTCCACTAATTATGGAAACCGATATTCGCCACAAAAAAAAGAAGGATTAGAAAGTTGAAAAAATAATTATGAAATCATGACCATGACTCCTTCATTCTTTGGTAAATTGACTTTACAAACCCTCCTGGCGACCTTTTGTCAAAAGCGACCCGCGACCTTATCCAGAGGCCTGTGCAGAGTGACAAACGTGTCACTCTGCACAGGCCTCACACCGTCATAAAGTCATTCAAATCTAAAATAGATTTTGATTCACTTAAAAGGTTTCAACGCAGTGTTACAGGCTGCCGGATGTCAGGGGTGCGTGTGGGAGGCAGGACTCAAACGCAGACTTTGCGGGAAACGAAGGACTTTAATAGTCAAAAGGCCAAAAACACAGGAACCGGGAGGAAAAACAGCAGGCAAGAAACTACAGAACATCCACAACAAGATACACGGACATGCGTGGCGAAAGACAATGACGCGACAAGTGACACAAGAGACACACGGCTTAAATACACAAGGGAGGTGCAGGTGATTGGACACAGGTGGAAACTATTAAGACGATCACAGGGGATGACGGGACAAGGCAGGAAGTGAAGTTACCCGGGACACGAGTGGCAGAAAACTACAAAATATAACAGGAAGTGAACCACACCGTGACAGTACCCCCCCCTCAAGGGCCGACTTCCAGGCGGCTCACACTAGAGCGAAACAAGGGGTCGGGGGGAGGGAAACCCGAGACGTTGGTCGGGCCACCCGGGAAACTCTGGCGGGCTGCCCGGCGGGCGGCCAGGCGACCGGGGAGCCACTGCCGGGGAGCCTCCGGTGGTCGGCACGACGGACGGCCATTTGGCCGGCTCCGGAACGTCTCTGGAATTGCAGGCTCGGGGACACGGGAAACCTCCGGGGTAGTCGGCGGCGGCGGCTCGGGGACACGGAACACCTCCGGGGTAGTCGGCGACGGCTCGGGGACACGGGAAACCTCCGGGGTAGTCGGCGACGGCTCGGGGACACGGGAAACCTCCGGGGTAGTCGGCGACGGCTCGGGGACACGGAACACCTCCGTAGTCGGCTCCAGCTCGGGGACACGGAACACCTCCGTAGTCGGCTCCGGCTCAGCCCCCCCCATAACCCACCCCATGGCCCCCCCCTCAAGGGCCGGATCCCAGACGGCCCTCAAATCACCAACGGGAGGGTGGGAGAGGACCATGGGATGGGAGGGAGAGAGTTTAAAGTCTCGGAGCGGGGACCGGGGGCGTCGGGGCCATGAGTCTCGGAGCGGGGACTGGGGGCGTCGGGGCCATGAGTCTCGGAGCGGGGACTGGGGGCGTCGGGGCCATGAGTCTCGGAGCGGGGACTGGGGGCGTCGGGGCAATGAGTCTCGGAGCGGGAGATCGCTGCGGCGGCCCAGCGGGAACGGGAGATCGTTGCGGCGGCCCAGCGGGAACGGGAGATCGCTGCGGCGGCCCAGCGGGAACGGGAGATCGCTGCGGCGGCCCAGCGGGAACGGGAGATCGTTGCGGCGGCCCAGCGGGAACGGGAGATCGCTGCGGCGGCCCAGCGGGAACGGGAGATCGTTGCGGCGGCCCAGCGGGAACGGGAGATCGCTGCGGCGGCCCAGCGGGAACGGGAGATCGCTGCGGCGGCCCAGCGGGAACGGGAGATCGCTGCGGCGGCCCAGCGGGAACGGGAGATCGCTGCGGCGGAACGGGAGATCGCTGCGGCGGAACGGGAGATCGCTGCGGCGGAACGGGAGATCGCTGCGGCGGAACGGGAGATCGCTGCGGCGGAACGGGAGATCGCTGCGGCGGAACGGGAGATCGCTGCGGCGGCCCAGCGGGAACAGGAGAGCGCTGCGGCGGCCCAGCGGGAACAGGAGAGCGCTGCGGCGGCCCAGCGGGAAGTCGGTTTTTCCTCCGGCCAGTGCTCCTCTTGGGATTTAGCAGATCCCGGAGCTCGAGGCAGGCGAGCTGATAGCCCCTGGGACCGAAGATGCAGTTTGTCTTCCGCTGCCAGAAGGGACTTCTTACGTCCAGGTAATCAGGTCCGTAATCTGGCAGCGCGTCTGCTGAGCCCTTCTTTGGTCGCGTCATTCTGTCAGGGGTGCGTGTGGGAGGCAGGACTCAAACGCAGACTTGCGGGAAACAAAAGGACTTTAATAGTCAAAAGGCCAAAAACACAGGAACCGGAAGGGAAAAACAGCAGGCAAGAAACTACAGAACATCCACAACAAGAGACACGGACATGCGTGGCGAAAGACAATGACGCGACAAGTGACACAAGAGACACACGGCTTAAATACACAAGGGAGGTGCAGGTGATTGGACACAGGTGGAAACTATTAAAACGATCACAGGGGATGACGGGACAAGGCAGGAAGTGAAGTTACCCGGGGACACGAGTGGCAGAAAACTACAAAATACAACAGGAAGTGAACCACACCGTGACACCGGATGCAAAGACCCTGGTTTGAGGTTTGAAAGTGCTATTTTGCTTTAAAGTCATTTGACCCTTCTGAGTAACCACCGCAAAAACTAATTTACTTTGGGTATCATGACAAGTGCTGATGGCATCAATCAAATAGCAAAACATATAAATTCAGTCACTACTGAACTATTGATTAGTTCTATTATTCCATTGTAGCACTTTTCCACTGAAAGTTCAACAGTTCCAAGCTGTATGTCCTTGGATGGCAGAAACACCATTCTCTCGTGCCGACGAATGTTGTAATTACAAGATGCACTATGGCAATATAGAAATGTATTTCTTTTTGGCTATTATAAGACATAACTGGAGAATAATTATTCTGCGGACTAATGCTAATAAAATGTTGGAATTCCAGCTCACACATCAGTTCATCCATCCATCTATAAAATCGTTTTTTTTGACCACACAAATGTGAAGCATAATCAAACACACATTTAATTCATAGATACAAGTCATTGTTATCAAAGCATTTCTCAAATCATCATAATTTAACTCCATTCTATTACAGACATTACTAATGGAAACATATCAAATAGTGTTTGTAACTCTATTTGTTATCTGATCTAATATTGAAACCTTTCATTACACCTTTAAGACCAAATGTCGGTCATGCTGTTAATAACTCGTTCCTGTCAAGGCAAGTGCCTCTTGGTCCAACCTGTTAAACCTGAAGACACGTGTGAAGGAGTGTGTTCACTACCCTCCTCTGGAAATATAAGTCTACTCTAAAAAGGTAAAGATTCAAGTCGACAGAAAGGCGACTCTGAAAGCAAAGGGTAAGAACGCTGCTCCTTTTTTCTCTGATCCTAATGGCCGTCTCTCACTTCCTTTCCCTGTTGCTTTCATGGTGGACGAGGCTGATGGAATTTCATTACTTATGATTGAAAACCAATGGAGTTTTGAAAGCAGAAAGAGATGGAAAGGTGCACTCAAAATGCCAGTATACCCTCCAGATGCTAGCAATCTAATTTCCTGTCAGCGGTAATAAATGGGGAGCCACCCGATGGCAAAGATAAGATGCTATTTCACCATCAGGGTTATCACTTAATACCTGATCATGTCTGTGGGGAGCAGTTGTATCCGACAGTTAAAACAGGGGGCCTCAACTCCTGGCACGAGAAATGATCATCAGTGTGGAAGAACTGTTAATCTGTCAAATCAATGTGACTTCACTCCATAGAGAGTTCATGAAAGGGATTTGAGTCGTCCCGCTGTGTTAATGATTTTCTTTTTAATGAAACCGGACAGCTCTGCACGTTGTTATTTTAAAAGGTGTTATGCAGATAAGACTTCTTATCTTGTAAAATAATACATTTCAAATGTAGTTTGTGTGTAACTGTGTGTTCGATTAAACAATTTCCTCTGCGTTTTTTGAGGAAGTGTTTGAAGGGGGAATGTTACTTGGGTAGATTCCTTAAGACAAAGTAAGATGAGGATGGAAAGTAATTGCAATGAACAAATGCTGACTCATTTACCAAAACAGCCAGAGCTGCCGTTCCTGAAACATACTCGGGATATTGTTACAATGAGAAATGCTTGTATGGTGGAGCACTTGAGCGTGGGAGTTTACACAAGACGTGGTTCATAACATAACGTGTGTTCAGCTATAGTGAAACCATGACAGACAGACAATAATACACGCTTTGTCTCCCCAGTCCGGATAAATCCATCTGAAAGCAATTACAGTCCACCGGCCAATTGTCAAAAAAACCCAAAGAGGCATCGATCATCATGGGGAAAGGGGAGAGCGACGACTGGGATGAGAAGCACGGGGACACGAGGCAGACTCAGCCTCGCAAACAGGAGGAGACTGAGGGTTCAAGCTCAGGTAGACAAAGGGGGAACTGGTAGATTGACAGGAGACGTGGTTTTGAGAATGTGATTGACCAAACATCAAGGCAGTAGAACATGTGAGACTCGGGATGTTGTTACTGTGAGAAATGCTTGTATTGTCGAGCAGTTGAGCGTGAGAGTTTACAATAACAAACGCTTTGTCTTCCCAGTTTGGATAAATCCATCCGAACGCAATTACAGACTACCGGCCAATTTTCAAAAAGAAGTCAATGAAGCGTCGGTCATCATGGAAAGATGGGAGAGTGACCAGGGGCCCCCGATACAGACTCAGCCTCGCGAACACAAGGAGAAGCCAAGACAATGTTGCATGTGCTGCTTGAAGTGTCTGTCCACCGAGGAGGTTGTGGAATCCTGCTGCTCGGGCTTATGTGAATGTTTAATCAGTCTTTGTTCCGAAGAGTGAATCTCTTTTTGTAAGTATATAAAAGTATATAAAAAAGGGAAAAAAACTATTAAAACAATTTCCTGCTTGGATGAGTTGGAATTTATGCAAATACAAAAATGTAACCCCAACATTTTAAATGGTGGACGCGGGTTATTTTGCGTCTTTCTAGCTTTGTAAATACACTGCAGTTAAAATTCGAGCACTTCAGCGTGTGACATGATGTGACAATATTTTTTTTTATCAGTTATAATATTTTCTTTCTCATTTTAATTGCAGAACCTGACCTTGAACATCTGGACCAGATTTCCCAGGCTGCGTTGAATCTCAGCGTCCGCCAGCGGCTTTAGTGTGATTTATGCCATTTGGAGATGAAAAAATTACCTTTCAGTCACTTTGATGAGCTAATAAACTTTATACCTCAATCCAGGAGTCATTTATTCACCCAAATCGCTATATCTGTATAAAACTAAAAAGATCATTTTCATAAATTCATTTTTGTGACGGTCTAAAAATATTTATCTAATATAGATAAATATGTAATACATATCTGTCCAAAATGTAAGGGGGGGACATTTTAGCCAATTTTGAAGAAATTGTCTCAAGGGATTGCCGAGATATCACGAGAATGAACTGGACTGACGACTCCAAAACCCAAAAGTCTGTCGCCGACATGGAGGATTATAAACAAGTGAACCTGACGACGTGTAGAGGAATGTTATAGTGAAACCCAAGCATCTTCTCTAGAGTAATGATGACCGGATGATCTGGCCAACGGGGGGGGGGCAGTTTGTCTGAATAATATTAATTACGAGCAGTAGCGGTAACCATACCTGACGTGATTTTATTTTGTTATTTTTCACTGGGCGATGTACCAGCACTGCGTTGGTGAATGACCTGGTCCCCCTGGTCTAACGCATGCACTCACTCACAGAGTGCGACCCCCAGTGGACTTTTTAGGAATAGCAGTTTCTTTTATAAAAATGCAATTACATTACAGGTCATTTACATTGCATTTTTAACCCATGGTTTACATCTTGCCCGGGGAACAATAAGGGGCTAAGTGTCTTGCTCAGGGACACTTCCAGCGAACAGCCATGAGTTTGACACATGTGCTTTAAAGGTTTCACACTGCATAATGACCAGTGCTTAATGCTTCTATCACTAAGCATTTTTTGTTAATGTTGGAAAAAGCCATTTTTGTACTGTGTTTTTACCTCCAGCGGAAGGTGACGGAAAACATAATATGTGAGGTAAATTCAGTCAAAATTGATCCGCTCTTTCGAATTTTGCATTGAATAGGTAAAAAAAAAATCCACGGGAAACACACTCAGATTACCATGGCAGCAACAGAAATGCGTTGGCTTTTCATTCTGCAGTGCTGATGAGGGAGTGTGGGAGTGGGTGAGCAGAGAAAGTGAGCGGTCAGGCACTGGGACAGGTGGAAAGGTGTGGGTGCATCTGCTGGATGGATGCAGAGCTGCAAAGCAGGGGGTAAGTGAGAATGCGTCTGAAGAAGATGTGAATGAGGACGACTGTGACACTGGAAATCACTCAGGTCCGTGCACCTTTTTGATAGTTCGTTTTACCTCTGGCTGTTTTAGCCACTTGCCAGCAGTTTCTCTATAAAGGTAGATTTGTGTCTATTATGCAAACCAAAAAATGTTTCGAGAGCAAATTTCTTGCAAGCCAAAATGTATTAACTGAGAATAAATTATTTGTTCGTTTTGCTTTTGAAACTATTGTTTTTGCCTGCAAAACCAAAACCTTTGGTCCCGGATCAAAAAGTTGTGCGATATATGAGTTTGTCATTTTCTTGTTCCTTTTGATTAAATGATTACATTCAAACATTACATTGATATTGCATTTCTTTAAATACAGCTGCACGACATCTCCTGTCCCTGATTTCAAGGGCAACACCTGAAGAACCCCAAGGACGAAGTTGGGTGATGGAGAAATCCTCAGTGCAAACTCAAACGGATAGAAATGCGCTCTTGCCTCGCCCCCGCCCCCCTCACCGACGCTGACCCCTATCCGACGCCTATCATGTACTCCACTTAATGGAAGAGTGGTAAGAAAAGAGCTGCGGTTTTCGGACAATGCTTTTACCGTTAATCACAGCTCATTTGTGAGCAACATGAGGAATTAAGTGCGGCGGTTGACGCAAGTAAAGTTGTAAGTTTGTCTCGTTTTTTGGTTCTAAACGAGAAAACTGTGGTTTCAATTTATGTTTTTTATAGTAAAAGGGACTATCAAATAGTGACGGGAAATTCAAATTGGCGGTTGACGCAAGCAGGAAGTCCCCCTTGTTGACCGCTGGGTTTAGCTCACGCGGTGGTTGGAGGACCCAGCACAGGTCTACCCTGAAGGCTTCAGGCTACAAGGATACAGCCTAGCGACTTTGAGACACAGCTAATAACACACCCTTTGTCTTCCCCGTTCATATCTGGAAGCAATTAGAGTCCAGCGGCCAACAAAAAAAACAAGAAGCATCGATCATCATGGAAAGAGGGGAGAGGAGCATAATAATAATTGCATCCTATTAGACATTCCAGAGAAATTGTCATAGCATGATAATTAGTTTTAATCAACCACCACACAGCGTTTGGCATTGAGGCCAAAAAGTTCAGTTTTGGTCTCATCTGGACAGAGCACCTTCTTCCACATGTTTGCGGAAAACTCCAAACAGGATTTCTTATGGTTCTTTTAATAGCGGCTTTTTTCTTGGCACTCTTCTATTAAGGCCAGATTTTGGGAATACACTTTTGTCCTGTGGACAGATTCTGTCCACCTCCAGAGTTACCATGCTAGAACATCAGTGTCCTCAGGATAAATGTGACCTTTGGCGATGATAGAGGAAATTACTCAAATGTACAGCTTGAGAGGATACAAATATTGTATTTCAAGTGAAAAACGTTTCTCTGCCACTGGAGACAACCTGTCCAAACATTCCTTTCTTCTATTAAATTATATTCCAGTATCACTAAAATCTTATCTACATATTGAGGGACATGTTTATGCTCCCAGTTCACGGTCACAGTGTTCAACAGTTTTAAAACTTAAAACCCTTCTCCCAAAACAGGCTTTAGCAGACCAGTGTTATTTGGCGGGAAGTACATTTTCTGTAACAGTGTCATGTTTGTGCTTCCAACATGCTAAAGAGCAGAGAGTCTGTTGCAATGGTTCCCAACCCAATTGCAGCCTGACGATGTGCATCCGTCTACGGCTGCAGAGGTCACACTGAGGGTCACATGGAAGGTATAGCAATGAAGAAATTACCATGATTTCATTTCTTTATTGTTCATGTGTAGTGATAAAAATAGTATTTTATATCTAAAAAATATATTTCGGCCAGTGGCCTGTTTTTCAACTTGGTTTTTCACTCTCGGTTTCCCAATTGAATAACGGGAAAACAAATAGTTTCTGGTTTTCGGTTTATCAATTGAAAATAAAGTTGTAAGTTTGTCTCGTTTTTTTGGTTCTAAACGAGAAAACTGTGGTTTCAATTTATGTTTTTTATAGTAAAAGGGACTATCAAATAGTGCCGGGAAATTCAAATTGTTTTACTGACTCAGTTCTTTGAATCTCGTTCAGTAAAATGAACGAATCTCGCCATTCGTTCATTTCAACGACTGCACGCTGCAAACACGTGTAGCACCCGTATCACCACTCAGTGAGTCCCTCACGTGAGAATGGGGGGTGCTTGGGTTCGATGTATTGTTTTAGCAAGAAGCTATTTAAAAAATAAATGAGACCCAGAGATGGTTGTTCTTTTAACAAAAGTAAAATGAATAGGGTAACGCCCTTGTTTATTTAAATACAATAATTACTTTTCCCCAAAACACAATATTACCAAATAGACAAAAATAAATAACCAAAACTTCCCCAAAACGTAAATGATAAACTCCAAATTCGGTGATACATCCCAATAGTATCAATGACGTTACATCAAAATAAATGTTCGAAATGTTCCCGTTCCTCAACTCGGAGAATACCAGAGTTCTCAACAATAACAACACAACTTCCCCCTCCAAGTGTCTTGAAAGAAGTATTGTATTGCGGTGTTGGGCCCAATCACACACACAGCCACACATGTTCCAGTTACTTACGGCAACGATATGTACGGGGAGAAAAAACACGTTGCAGGCCTGTTTGGTCTGGCAAAACATTGAGTGCGCTGAAACCACAGTCAAAACATTGAGTGCGCTGAAACCACAGGCAAAACATTGAGTGCGCTGAAACCACAGTCAAAACATTGAGTGCGTGGAAACTCGGGTCCGCGATGCGAGTCACCGACACTTCCGGCCGGCCGCGCCCACCGTGGCTAGCAAGCTCGGCTCCCTCGATGGCGACCTCCGCTGCTTCTCCCCCGCTCCGTCCGACGGGGTTTCAGCTCCGGTTTTTCCTCCGTTTCCAGGCTCACAAACACACCGAGTCCGCGGTCCACTCCTTCCAGTCTCCCGCGCCGGTTTATTCCACCTTTTTCTCTTCCCCAAAAACGCCGGCGTCCCGTGCTCTTCGCGACCCCTCGTTTTTTCCAAAGAACCCCCAAAACTTCCAGCACTTTCCAGTCACGTGTCTTCCCCGTTGTTTTCCAAACCAATCACCATTGGCTATACAGCGTGAACACACAACTGACCGATAATACTGTAACATCAAACAGTAAGTACTAAAAGGCTAACGGCCTAAAGCCTCTGGAGATATTATTTAACTAAATATGAACTTAACATTAGTATTCATCACTATGACAAATATTACTCCATGCACGACAAATAAACATCTCCCCACTTAGAAATCAGGTGTCCCCTATTATGTATTTAATGTAAAATAAACATTTACTTTTTTTAATAGGCAGGCACCTAGTTCTGAAAGTACGACTATAAGTCCTAAGTTCACCAGGGGACTACACACGTATCATATTCTCATGTAGGTTAGTGCATGTCAATTAAATTAGTATCATGAAAGTTTGGACGATTTGAAATGGTCATTATCATATTAGCATTTAGTTATCACGGCAAACAATTACGCTGCACTGAATTTTACAAAAAAGTACAAAAAAACGTTAAAACAACAAAACCTATAACTATTACTTGGGAACAAATGTCATTCACGTCTTCCTAAACCTAGTCCTGTGAAAGTGAACCAGGTAAACAAATCCTTTCCTCTTCTGAGCCTACGCAGGTCACTCATACTCGAAGACCCTGTCGGGAAATGAACAAATTATTTCTGTTTCCTTGACTGAGCCTATGCGACAGTCCCAATGCGCGGCCACGAGAAAATGAACGAATTTGTCTTTGAGACGACCCGTTACTCCCGAGTCCTTGTAAGGATTTGTCCAAAACCGTTCACAAACGACACATCACTAATATCAAAAGGTACACGGACCTAAAAGTGGTCAGTTTGTAAAACGGGTGGGTAGTCGTTGTCTCGTTTTTCGTTTAGAACCCAACGAGACGACTGCCCACTTCTGTTTTACCGCTTTTGGTTTCCAACGAGAAAACAGTGTTTTTCAAAAGGTACACGGGTCCATAAACCATTATGAACTATATTGCATCAAACAGCGAACCGATGAGTATCGCTGTGTTCATGGATAAAATAAAATAAAATACTTCTGGTGCCAACACATCCCTCAAAAAGGTATATGGACCAAAAGTCAGCAAACGGTCGCCCACTTCCGCCCAACTATGGTATTTTCGTTTCATGATTTTTCCGGTAAAACGGACAAAAAGGTACACGGACCATGTACTCCCAAAATGGGCTTTGAGAAGCTGATCCTGTTCATCCTGGGAATCTGGCGGCTGCATGGGCTCGTGCTCTGCTGAGATGGACTGCTTGTCATATTCCTGCCAGACATTGAAAGATATTGGAGGAAAAGAGCACTTTAACAGGAAAAAAAAGGGGAACAAATGAAAAGGCAAAATATTTTGTGCTGCTGCCGAGCGCAACTGTAATGATACACCAAGCGGCGTGGATACACACCCGGACTACGGTTGACCCGTCTTGTTACAGTCACACATCATTCAAACTGCGTAGGAGAGGTACAATGATTCTTCTGATTTTCAATTTATTTTTTGGCTGAGCAAAATATCCCTTCCAATACAGGTGCTAATAAAACTTGTTTCCCTGAAGCGGCGCTGCCCCGTGCGTGGTGTCACTCTGCAGAGGCCTCACACCATGATAAAATCAGTCAAATCTAAAATGTTACTTCACTTAAACAGTTTAAACATAATGTTACAGGCTAAGAATGCAAAGGCACTAGTGGTATTTTGCTTTTTAATTGGTGTATATCCATTTGTTAGAGTCATATTACATATTACATATCATATTACACGTTTGGTTGCTAAGCTGCATCATGTGTCATGCTGTGGTTTAGACTTTGAGTTCATCGCTTTAACCTTCATGTGAATTACTGCCCTGACAGTCAGGAACTGGCTAGTTCCTCCGGCAGGTTCCTCTTCGTCCAACCTGTTAAACCTGAAGACACACCCGCCCTGTTCAGCCGAGGCTGAAAAAAGGACTCACCCCCTTTTGTTCATGACATCGCGTGAGTTTCTCCAAGTGTGAAGGAGTGTGTTCACCACCCTCCTCTGGAAATATAAGTCTACTCTAAAAAGGTAAAGATTCAAGTCGACAGAAAGGCGACTCTGAAAGCAAAGGGTAAGAACGCTGCTCCTTTTTTCTCTGCTCCTAATGGCCGTCTCTCACTTCCTTTCCCTGTTGCTTTCATGGTGGACGAGGCTGATGGAATTTCATTACTTATGATTGAAAACCAATGGAGTTTTGAAAGCAGAAAGAGATGGAAAGGTGCACTCAAAATGCCAGTATACCCTCCAGATGCTAGCAATCTAATTTCCTGTCAGCGGTAATAAATGGGGAGCCACCCGATGGCAAAGATAAGATGCTATTTCACCATCAGGGTTATCACTTAATACCTGATCATGTCTGTGGGGAGCAGTTGTATCCGACAGTTAAAACAGGGGGCCTCAACTCCTGGCACGAGAAATGATCATCAGTGTGGAAGAACTGTTAATCTGTCAAATCAATGTGACTTCACTCCATAGAGAGTTCATGAAAGGGATTTGAGTCGTCCCGCTGTGTTAATGATTTTCTCTTTAATGAAACCGGACAGCTCTGCACGTTGTTATTTTAAAAGGTGTTATGCAGATAAGACTTCTTATCTTGTAAAATAATACATTTCAAATGTAGTTTGTGTGTAACTGTGTGTTTGATTAAACAATTTCCTCTGCGTTTTTTGAGGAAGTGTTTGAAGGGGGAATGTTACTTGGGTAGATTCCTTAAGACAAAGTAAGATGAGGATGGAAAGTAATTGCAATGAACAAATGCTGACTCATTTACCAAAACAGCCAGAGCTGCCGTTCCTGAAACATACTCGGGATATTGTTACAATGAGAAATGCTTGTATGGTGGAGCACTTGAGCGTGGGAGTTTACACAAGACGTGGTTCATAACATAACGTGTGTTCAGCTATAGTGAAACCATGACAGACAGACAATAATACACGCTTTGTCTCCCCAGTCCGGATAAATCCATCTGAAAGCAATTACAGTCCACCGGCCAATTGTCAAAAAAACCCAAAGAGGCATCGATCATCATGGGGAAAGGGGAGAGCGACGACTGGGATGAGAAGCACGGGGACACGAGGCAGACTCAGCCTCGCAAACAGAAGGAGACTGAGGGTTCAAGCTCCGGGAGCAAATGTCCCAAGTGCTGCCTGCAGACACGGAACTGTCTGATGAGCCCGGAGTGCGGCAGGGCCCTTCAGATCTCCAGCGTCGTGGCCTGGTGTGGAATGTGCATCCGCCTGTTTGTGTGTAAGTATGAAAAAAGGATTTCCTGCTTGGATGAATCCATACCACATTTTAACCCTTACATTTAAAAAGGTGGACGAGGTTTATTTTAAGTCTTTCTAGCTGTGTAAATACACTGAAGTTAAAGTCCCGCCAAAGTGAAAAAAATGTCAATTTTTCATTAATTATATTATTTTCTTTCTCATTTTAATTGCAGAAGCTGACCTTGAACATCCAGACCAGTTTCTTAAGGATGCTTTACTGTCATTCAGAGGTGAAAATATTGCTTTTCAGTCTGTTTCATATACTCGCCTTATATCTAAATCAAGTCATTATTTATTTAACATAGAACAATTCAGTATTTGTACATAAAACAAACTAAATAGACAATTTTCATGAATTAATTCATTAATTGATGCTTGTGACTGTGTATTTGATCCATATTGGTTGTTCATTATATATGTCTGTCCAAAGTGTAATAATTGTGTCCTATTAGACGTTCGAGAGAGCTGTTATAATTGGGCTTCATAATGCCATGAAGCCCAATGGTATTTATTGAGCTCACAATGACTTTGAATCATTTCAGTCTTGAGTTGGGGGGGGGACACTTTAGCCAAATTTGCTCTAAGGGATTGCTGAGACATCACGAGAACGAACTGGAGGTGCGGACGGACGACCCCAAAACCCAATTGGTCCAGCCTAGTCTGTCGGCGACACGACACACACGATTATAAACAAGCGAACCTGACGACGTGAAGAGGAATGTTACAGTGAAACCCAAGCATCTTCTCTAGAATAATGAGTAAGATGAAAAATGTATGAAGGAATGAAAAACTTGAAATAACGTTTGCAGGAACAAGGACAAGTGTACTTCATCCAACACAAATAATGAGAGACCTCTGGTTAATTAAAAGCCTTGGACCACCCTGATGATCTTCGTGGCATGGTCATTTTGAGAGAGGGGCTCATTGTGAACATAACAAGCGAGCTAGCAAAGAATAGATTTCATTTTTTGTGATGATTTCACAAGGCAACAATAACATTACTGCCTCTTTGTGTCTTCTTTTCCATCACACAAAGGGTATAAACTGAGGACAAATGCATACAAAAAATACTGACCCAAGTGTGGGGTTAAAACTCTCATTCGGAGAACAATGTATCTGTTATTTATCATCCTCTCTCTTTTAATTTTGCGTTCAATGATTTATATTCGTGTTCTTTCACTGCATGTCGCCCTTCAGTTGCTGCCTCTTGTGTGCCACCGTGTCAGTGTGGGCATCACATACAGGGGTGACATTTCAAGCAGACAGATTAGGGCCTCTCACCAATTAATTTTGCCTCCCTTCCCCCGTTAAATACACAATCAACCAAAGGCAAAATGTCATTGAAATAAACGAGGAGCTGCCATGTGCTTGACAATTACTGCAAAGCCCCTCAGAAATGCCAATACGTTAAAGTGGGAGCCGTGTGTGAGATGAATGGGGGCCAACAGTCTGTTAGGAGCCAAGTTGCCGCAACACTGGAAAAAGACACATTTCTTCCTTCCTTGCTATGGATATCCGATGTGTAGTGACAGACATTGTGTTAAAAGGTCAAGATGTTAGCTGCATTGGGTATTTAACACATGACTTTATGCAGTGTACTCTTTACTTAATGAGTTTGTGTGCTTTCCCAACAACCTCCACACACAGATCGCAGAGGAAGAAATTGAGACAAAGTGGTTAAACAAATATTCAAAGACCATCACCAGCTAACTTAATAGGGGGAACCCTTGAAGCACTAAAAACAGACACAGGCGTATAGACCCTCCAACTCTGAACCTCCCTTGGTGTCAATCCAACGGTTAGCCAAGTAGCTAAGAGCGTACGCCATTTGCAATGGATTGACAGCCACAGTCTTACATCATCGGCCCTCCACACCAATTTCTTGAAAACAGGTTCCACATTGCCGTTGCATTCTGCCATCGTCTGTCTGTTCATCTATATATTTGTCAATTGCAATGGGCAGATGCCATTAAAATCTACTTCAACCGGTGCCAATCCACATCCAGTTTGTTGCTCCCGCTCCGATTCGTTCGCCAAACAAGCCTCTTCCCGACCGCCTGACCGAGCCGAGGTAAGAGGGGAGGAAACCCAGTCGGGTGTGCCTGGTAGTGGGCCGCATCCCTGTTTGTCACGGTAGTGAAACAAAACTCCTTCTAGCTCTTCCAAAATCCATTTTAAATCGCCTTCTTTTGCCAAGAATTGCAGCCGGCCTGTGATTGACTTGGCCCACATCCAGCCTCGATACAATTTGTTGCATAAATGCTAAAATCGATGGGTCATTACATTAATGAAATGACATGACAGAGGGACATGATCCCGCAGAAGCATCAAGGTTCTTCATAGCTTCTGGCCATACTTAGATGCCAAGATTCTGAAAGGTTTTAGGAATGCTGGATCAGGGAAATTCATTGAAGCCGATGTCAAAAAATGGTCTTGAATCCAGCCTGTGGCAATCTCACTGTCTCTCAATGCGTATTTCTCCCACACAACTAAACCAACCATTATGGACTGATTCCCGGTCCACTCTCCCGTGAAAGCCCACATTAACATCTGTTTTCCGCAGATGAGAAATACAAAATCACACTGCACTGCACCCACCTCTCAGGATAAAAATACAGATTATGGGATATGAAAGGTCTTTTTATAGTTATTGCAACCGAGGATGAGTAAAATTGAGCCTATGGCGTCTTGGAAGTACACTCTGCCCGCCCATTTAAGATGTCCTGACTCATTCATCCTAAAGAGTCAGAATTCACATCCTCCCAGGAACCTTGTTCCTGCTCAGACTGGTAATTTCTTTTTGCTTCCTTGAACTTATTTTTATCTAAACCTTTTACTGCCACCATGAAGATGAAAGGTGAAAACCAAAAAAAGTGATACAAATGTTAGGGTCTGCACTCTTGGTGTGTGTATGTTGAAGTGAGGAAGCAACAGGGAGGGAGACTGTGACAGAGAAAGAGACGGAAAGAGATGAGATTTGTTCACCCGGGGCCCTCTCTCCAGAGCGGCCTTTTACCGTCGTCAATCATCTCCATGGAGACATCTTAAAACTGATGGATGGGCGGCTCTGTTGCATTTCAAACGTGCCTGTGATACGGACGACAGTTGGTGTGTGTTGGGCTTGATTACAGTAACAAAACAGTAGACCACGTGGGTCTAGCCACTGGTCGAGCTACTGACCAGCAGTTAAACAGGTTACCAAATTTGATGCTATTGGGAAGCAGGTTTCATTACATGTACAAATAGTTGAATTGCAGGTGTTATGAAAATAACAGTTTTGCCCTTTTTAACTAAATTACCAAGCCACAACGCTTTAATCAGTGAGCTTTACAGTTTCTGGCACCCAGATTGTTTCCCTTTAAACAGAGCTAGACAACCTGCTCCTAATGCTAAGCTAAGTAATTTGAGAGCTGTATCAATCTTTTCCCCTTTTAATAAAAAAAAGTATAATCAGCATTTGAATTATTAAGCTATGGCCAAAAACACATCAGTCACATCACCTTGTCTTCCTTAAATCTAATCAGTTTAACCTTGAAACTGTATGATGGATGGTTCAGTTATGATGAGACCATTATGTTCGAGTGTCAATAATGCACAAAAGTAGACCTTACGTTACTGGAGGAGGGATACACCAGTAACGTGGAGCTGGAGGTGATGAGAAATCAGTTCGGGAAGGGGGAGACCAGCCATTTCTTTCCTGTTTGGAAGACAGCTTGTCTCCAAGAACAAGGTCTCTTGTTTTTGCCTTTTCAGCAAAGAAACAAAGCTAATGTAATCCTCTGCTTCCTCAAAGCCTGATCAGCGCGAGTCAGGGTCAGCAGGACCAGGCAGATGAAATGCACAAGGCGTATCATTAGCGTCACATATCGCTCTCCGCAAGGATTAGCCACTCTGCTTTCGCTACGTTTTCACAATCAAGACCAACTTTAACACCCAGCTTTGCTCCTCGCCCGAGGGATGTGGAAGAAAGATCCAGTGTACTGTCTGTTTTCCCTGAGTTCTCATGAGAACTTCAACAAGTCGTTTTGCTGGCGGCCTTTGCGGCACTCACTTTGTCAGCATAATTCCCTGCCATTAGAACAGGCGATATAAAAGGGCACCTAAGGCTAATTTTAGAGGACAAGAAGTGCTTTCACTCAATCTTTCTACACACACCTAAAAAAAAAGAGTCAATTCCCAACAAGTAATGGGTGGGTGCAATGCACTGTGGACACCGGCAGGAAAAGAAAAAAGAACTCTTCTTTTGCTTTAAGTCTCCATCTCTGCTCTTCAAAATAAATGGCGGTCATTGATGTCATTTAGTAACTGTGCGGCTACTGAAGCACTTTGCAGCTTTAACTTTATGCAAATTGGTTCTTCGAAATAGCTGTTCAGACATTTAAAAAAAGGAGCAATGTGTAGGATTTGGTCGTATTCAGCGGTGCAAGGTTTCCAGATGGCTGAAAATTCAGAGGTTCATATGCAAAGTACAGATACTGTATTTAATTGTATAATCAGCCTGATCGATAAACTCTCCCACTATGTCTACATTCTGCCTCATCCCAGGTGACAGATTTGCGTCCATAGATTACATCTCTGGGTGAAAGTCCTGTGTTTGGGTGACCCGTACACGTATGTAACACTACACCGCTAGCTGTAAGTGTTAGCATAGTCGCGTGTTAGGTTGTTGCATTATGGGATACCAAAGGAAACATGGCGGTGCAACATGGTGGACCAGCTCTTGACCATTTAACACAACAATTCTTAGTTTTAGGTGATAATTTAATTATGGAAACACATAATTTTACCCTTTGTTAATATGTCAATCTAAATCCTAACACCCCTCCAAAATATACTCAAGTAGACTGCCAAAACAATCAAAAAAGCATCATCATTTTCCTACTACCTTTTGAATTCGCCGGGCAGCACAAGCTCATACAACATGAAACGAAGCTGAAGAAATGAGAAAAAAAGAAAAAAAAGAAAGCTTATTGAGCACAACAGATCTGAGACTTTTCTGCATTCAGTCAACAAACTCTCTGCCGCCTACAGAATTTATGGCCTTTGAAAGACTGCTGGACGGATCAAAAGCAGACCCTGGCTTATGAATATTCCCTGAATCAAAAAACAATCTAGACTGCACCAACATGCTGGTTGCACAAAATCGCTTTCTCCGAGAGCGCTTGTTCTTTTGACAGCGAGGCCAGATGTTACGGTCGAAATTACCAACTAAAATCTGAAAGATTGTGTGTGTGTCCAACACAAGATGAATTCCATTTCTTCCACAAAAATTTGATTTAATTCAGCTTCTGAGGCGAACAGCAAAAAAAACTGAATAAACATTGCTCGCCAGTTATTCTACATTTGTTTGGCTGTGATCCTCAATATTTCATTTCTTTTTATTTAAAAAACAATTAAAAAAAAAGTTTTGCATGGCGCAGATTATGTTGGCTGTTTTTAGATCCTCTAATTTAAAGCAAACCATGGTTCACAAATTGTAATTTGAAATGTTGCTTGCTTCGTACAATTTTTGTTTTTTGTTTTTTTGGAAGTGTTTTGAGAAAAAGAAGTTGGAAAAGGCGACGGAGTTCATTGTGGTTTTCTACTAATCCAGCGATCTTGCCTGTTGAAGGAATGACACCATTGGCAAATAGTTTAAAACAGGTTATTGCTTCTTTAGCAGCAACCTTTGTTACTTGATATTTAGTGAGCTTTATGGTGAGGCAATTTAAGATCATTATGTAACCGCAAGGCTAAAAATAAAGATTTTTCCAAATAAGTGGATCCATTATAGACCATTAAATCTGAAGTTTCCCACTAAAAGCTTTCCAGCAATTACATAAACAGTTTCACATTCTAGATATGTTTTATTCTAAGTAATTCAAAAGCTTTTTGATTGGTAAAAAGAAAAAACAACTGCATAATATCAGCAATGAAACACACAACGCTTCAGAGCATAACTAATTAAATAAACATTGTTATTAATTAATCATATAACTAACAACCCACCTCAAGGT